GGGGGGGTGCTGACAGAGCCCAGAGAGCGGACGCGAGCCGGGTGGGGAGAGGGTGAGAGGGGGGGTCTCGGATGGAGCCCCCCCACACACGTACCCCAGAGAACAGAGAGGTGGGGTCTCTCTCAAGATCTGAGTGGACAGGGGACGGGACCTCCCCCCTTTCTTTGGTCCCCAGGGAGGAGGGCCGAGCCCCCCCTCCCCCCCGCCCAGGCCCTGCTCGGGGCGGGGGGCTGGAGATGAGAGGAGGAAGAGGAGGAGGAGGAGCAGGCGGCCGCTAGTGGGGGCCCGGGGGGCAGCGGCGGGCACGGGCGGCAGCGGCGACAAGGCTGGCGGTGGCGGCTGGCCCGAGCATCTTCTTCCCGGAGGCTCCCACAGCGGCCTGGCCCCGCCCACCAGCCGGGGCCCCGCCCATGTCAGGCGAGGCCACGCCCTCTCCGCACTCCCATTGGTCCATCTTTGAAGCCTGGGCCGCGTCCCTCCGAGTTGGCCACGCCCCTCCCGGAGTTGAGGAGAAGGGACCCGAGCTCTCGGCATTCATCCTGAGGACCACAGGTTCATCCCTCGCCCTTCCTTTCCCACCCCTCACCTTTAAGGATCTTTTCTTGAGAACTTTACTTTGGTGCCAGGGCTAGTACTAAGTAAGTGCTTCATAGAAGTGATCGCGTTTAGCCACGGGGGTGAAAAGTTAATTTTTCCAGGCACTTTTCTTACCCTCATTTTATAAACGAGGAAAAGGAGCCTGAGAGACTTGACAACACTCCATCTTTTGCTTCTTCTTGTCTTCTAACCCCTGCTCCTCGCCCCCACCCCCAAGAAGAAACAGGGAAATCCTGGTCAGGTAGTCCATTAAGAAATACAGTCCTAGCTGCTCAGGAGGCTGAGATCTAAGCATTCCTGTTTGAAGCCAAGGCAGGCAGAAAAGTCTGTGAGATTCTTATTTCCAATGAACCACTAAAGAAACTAGAAGTGGAGCTGTGGCTCAAGTAGTAGAGTGTTAGCCTTGAGCAAAAGAGGCTCAGGGACAGTATCCTTGAGTTCAAGCCCCAGGACTCTGACTCTGACTCTGACTCTCTCTCTCTCTCTCATATACACACACAGACACAGAATAGATACAAGGCTACCACAGGAACTCAGAGGGATGAATTCAATAAAACATGGAGCTCAGAGGTTGAGGTACCATCACCAGTACTCCTGGTCATCCTGCCTAAGTGTCAGGTTCTTGCCCAGATACTGGGTCATTACAGGAAACAAGATGGTGTTGGCCCTCTTGGTTTAGGATTGCGGTGAGATCCTTAGGGAATTCTGATTTTTCAGAGAACAAAACTTAGGCTTGGGAACCTGGAATGGAGCTTGTCTAAGGAACACACAGCTAGACAGAGGGAAAACTGGAGTTTCAGTAGAGGACGAGCTTAATTTCAGAACTCTCCCTGGAAGAGGCAGGGGCTCTTCCTTGGAATGGATCGTTGGTAATAGTCATGTCTTCTGGTACATGCATTTTTGTCTTCCAAGATTCCCTGATCTCTAAGGATTTCCTTCCTTTCTAGTTTGACCAGAGCAAGATTCGGTTCTAAGGGGTGTCTGGGAAGGGGGAATTGTGGCAGGTTGGGAGGGTCTGTACACACTGAGATCTGCTCCACTTGGTATGCTCAAAGGTCCTCAGGACGGAGGGGGAAGCAGATGGCCTGGGGTGGATGGGGTGGCCGCCCATCTGTCCCCTCCCCCTTTCATTGTCCCTGGAGCCAAGGGGGAGGGAGGGAGGGGCTTGTGGTCCACTGCAGTCTGGATCCTCCCCCTCCATTTTCCTGGAGGGAGCTGAGGAGCTGGTTGCCATGGAGACAGGGAAGAGGCAAGAGGGATGCAGAGAGATGCTGAGGTCAGGCTGAGAGCCATACCTTAGGCCTTCTGAGTTCCATAGACACACACAAACACAGGTACATATTTGAGCAATCATGGAGTTGGGTGTTAAGTTTCCCCCCCTCAGGTACACAGTACACACAGAGGCACACTGGGATACACAAATGTACAGTCTCAGTACTGGTCCACACAGGTGTGCTATGGCATGGACACACACACACACACACACACACATACACACTGCTAACACACATTCAGTCATGAACAGCCAGTGCTATAATACAGCCAACCACCTACTAGCCAGCTAGTCACAGCTAACATCCAAGCATGTCTCAGGTGTGAATACTTCATACGTGGTTCCCACACACCCAGAAAAGTTAGACATGCACAGACAAGACCAACAAGACACATGAACAGCCCTCATTACGTAAGACGTAGACACTGAAAACCAGCCTGGATTATAGCTTGCATGTAAACTGGGTATCAACACACACACACACACACACACATACACACACACATCTAGATACAGGGCCCAGAGTCTAGCACACACAATGACACTCATTGTTACAACACACTTGGGGTGTTGTACTGCTTACTTCTCCCCTCACAATGCCTGCAGCCCCAAATCCACCCAATCTTCCCATTTGGACGCACACAACAGCCCGGTCGGTCACGCACTCACACTCACACACAAACACAAACCTCCTCCTAGATATTTTTAAACCAAGGCTAGTTCTGCTACCATGGCAACCGCCCCAAACCCATCACCATAGCAACCCAACGTCAGCTTTCCAAGCACCAAATCCTGGGGGATTGCACGGCCCCAATCAGAGGAAGGCAGAGGGGGCTGCACCCTTTCCCATCATCTGTGCGTCCCATTGTAACCCCCCCACCTCAGAGATTTTTGGGGAGCAGACACGCTAGACTGAATAGAGACCAAGGACCAGGGACACCACAGACCAGGATCAAGCTGACTCAGAAGCAGCCCCTCTTTTTCTTCCTGCTTATCAGAACCCTGATGGAGGGGCTCACTGGAGTGCAGGGTAACTTGAACCTGGACATATAAGAATCTGGAGTTGGAATCCTGGCTCTGTCACTTACCTACTGTGTGACCTGGGCACCTGCTCACCCTCTCTGAGCATCAGACTCCTTCATTTGGAGAACCAGTGTTCTTGGACACTCATTTCTCTTAAGGGACCATTGTGATTCAGAGTTTTTTTTTTTTTTAAGTACAGGCAGACCTACTGTCAAATTCTAACTTTTTTTCTTTCTTTCTTTCTTCCTTCCTTCCTTTCTTTCTTTCTTCCTTCCTTCCTTCCTTTTTTTTTGTCAGTCATGGGGCTTGAATTCTGGGCTTGGGCGCTGTCCCTGGGCTCTTCAGCTTAAGGCGAGCACTCTACTGTTCAAGTCACAACCCCACTTCCAGTTTTCTAGTGGTTTATTGGAAATAAGAGTCTCACAGATTTTCCTGCCCAGGCTGGCTTTGAACCATGATCCTCAGATCTCAGCCTCCTGAGTTGCTAGGATGACAGGTGTGAGCCACCAGAGCCTGGCTTTTTCTTTTCTTCCCAGCAAAGGACTTCCCTATGACCAAGTCAAGGAGGACAGATGGTTCAATTGCACGGACTGCTGGGAAATTCTCTGCTGAGGGGTGTGGCCACTGCTCTAAGAACTCTCTATGTCTTCTAACTTAAGTCTTATACGTGGCCTTGGGTAGGTAACTATTATTAGCACCATATTGCAGAAAAGGAAACTGAGGCTTGGAAAGTGTGTCTAGGATCATAGTGCTATGGAATTTTTAAGTGTAGCCTGTTGAGCTGGGCTCTGGTGCTCACACCTGTCATCCTAGCTACTCAGGAGGCTGGGATTTGAGGATCACAGTTCAAAGCCAGCTCCCAGCAAGGAAGTCCAGAAGACTGTTACTTCCAAGGAAACAGCAAAAAGCAGGACCAAGTGGAGGTGTGACTCAAGTGGTAGAGTGCCAGACTTGAGAAAAGAAGTTTAAGCAAGAACACAGGGTTCTGAGTTCAAGACTCAGAAACTACATGAGTTGGTGAGGGTGTCCAGTAGAAGACCCATTCTTAGCCGTTGTAAAGGAGGGAGTATGGAAAAGGGTGATAAAATGATGAATTCTTTTCTTTCTTTTGTCAGATGTTGGGCTTGAACTGGGCCTGGGCACTGCTCCTGAGCTCTTTTGCTCAAGGCTAGCCCTCTACTACTTTGAGCCACAGCTCCACATCTAGTTCTCTAGTGATTAATTGGAGATAAGAGTCTCACAAGCTGGGTGCTAGTGACTCACACCTGTAATCCAAGGTACTCAGGAAGCTGAGATCTGAGGATGGAGGTTCGAAACAAGCCCAGGAAGGAATGTCCATGAGACTCTTATCTCCAATAAACTACTCAGAAAAAGCTGGAAGTGATGCAGTGACTCAAGTGGTAGAGCACTAGCCTTGAGCACAAAGAGGTTCAGGAACAGTGCCCAGGCCCTGAGTTCGAGCCCCAGGATGTAGGGGGGAGGTTTTGAATCTTGATCCTCAGATCTCACCCTCCTGAGTAGCTAGAATTACAGGGGTGAACCACCAACACCTGGTGAATTCTTGGAAATGCTTTTGCTCCTCTGGTATGAAAGACCTCAGTTTTCTAGCCTGTAAAATGCAGGTTCCAATGGTACTTCCCAGAGGGCCTAGGAGGTAGCTGTGAGGAGTCTCTGAGGGTGGGTGGAATCCCATCGCCCAAGAGGTGGGGGAGGGTTCAGGAGAGGTAAGGCCGGCTGGTCATTGTGGGAGTTGTCACCTGAGCAGCTTCAGAAGGGAGAACAGCCCTGTTCCTCTCACTTCCGGTCTGGTAACCTCAGATTTGGAACTGTCTCTCCTGATCTGGAGGCAGGGGAGGAAGGGGGGAGGAAGGGCAAAGCAGCACAATGGCTGTGGATGTGGTGAGGACCCTGAGGGCCATAGTCTCAGCACAGAGCTAAATGTGAGCCGTTCTTAATGTCATCCTTGGCTCAGGACAGGCAGCAGCATAGGGGCAGGGCTTTTCACACGTTTTGGACTCACAGTAAGAAATATATTTCCAGCTAGGCGCTGGAGGGCTCATATCTGTAATCCTAGCTATTCAGGAGGCTGAGATCTGAGGATCAAGGTTCAAAGCCAGCCCAGGCAGGAATGTCCATGAGATTCTTATCTCCAATCAACCATCAGAAAAGTGCCAGTGCCGGGCTGGGAAGGTGGCTCAGTGGTAGAGCGCTTGCCTTGCATGCATGAGGCCCTGGGTTCAATTCTTCAGTACCACATAAGCAAACAGAAAAAAGCTGGAAGTGGCGCTGTGGCTCAAGTGGTAGAGCACTAGCCTTGAGCTGAAGAGCTGAGGGACAGCGCCCAGGCCCAGAGTTCAGGCCCCATGACCGGACCCCCCCCCAAAAAAAAAAGAAAAAAAGAAAAGTGCCAGTGGAGCTGTGGATCAAAGTAGCAGAGCTCAGGGACAGCACCCAGGCCCTGAGTTCAAGCCCCACAACTGACCAGAAACAAACAAAAAGAAGCACTACATTTCCATCACAACTCAGTGATTGTAAAACAGAGAATCAAGAGCCACAACACCATAACTCCTTTATGCTATGAACCCAAGCTCAGATCCCTCAGCCCATTACTAATTGTGACCACACTCTGTCCTAGTGTCAGGTTTAGAGGTAAAGTTCTAGGATTTTTTTGTGTTTGTATACCAGCCAGTACTGGGACTTGAACTGAGAGCTTCTAGCTTTTTTTTTTTTTTTTTTTGCCAGTCCTGGGGGCTTGAACTAAAGGCCTGGGCTCTGTCCCTAAGCTTCTTTTGGTCAAAGCTAGCACTCTACCACTTGAGCCACAGTGCCACTCCTGGCTTCTTCTGTTTATGTGGTACTGAGGAATCGAACCCAGGGCTTCAAGCATGCTAGACGAGCACTCTATCACTAAGCTACATTCCCAGCCCAGAGTCTCTAGCTCTTGATTAGCTATTTTCCTCCACCACTTGAGCCACAACTCCACCTCAGGCTTTCTGGAGGTTCATTGGAGATAGGAGTCTCGTGGATTTTCCTGTCAGGCTGGCTTTGAACTATAATCCTCAGATTTCAGCCTGGGATTACAGGTGTGAGCCACGGGTGCCTGCTTTACCAGGAGATTTTAATCAGACCTGGGTAGTGGATGGAGGGGAAGAGTCAGACTGGGGAGGTTGAAGCTACAACCAGAGAAGATTCCAGGGATGAGATTTCTTTGTCTACACATCCTGCAGGAGCTCAGGAGATGGAGGGATGCAAATGGGCTGGGGTCCCTGGTTCAAGTAGTAGAGGAGCTTGCCTATCAAGGAAAAGGTCCTGAGTTCAAACTCCAGTACCTTCAAAAAGAAACAAAACCATCAGTACCTGTCCAGAGCTGCAAGTGTAGACTTTGAGGAGGAGACTGAAGGCTGACTTCGTGTCCATCTGATCCTGAGGACATTTGAATCACAGAAACTTGGAACAAAAATGTCTCAGCACTGAGAGCCTGCAGATTTAATCCTAACAGTCTCTTGGTAGGGTGGGAAAATTAAGGTCCCCAGACTGTTTCATTTGCCCAGGAGGCCAGAGGGAGATGGAGCTGAGCCAGGCCCCAAATCCACCCTTTTCTGTCTCAGGCTTGTGTTCCCGGAGCTGGCTGCCACCTTGGTGGTTCTGGCATCTAAGTGAGTCCCCACCCCCACCCCAGCCTCATCTTCCTGGACTCCCTACAGCCTCTGGGATAAATTCCAAACTCTCTCAGTTGTTCAGGCCAGAAACCATACCGTTGCCCCTGACACCCCTTTTGAACTCACAGCCAATCCATCAGCAAATGCTTTCTGCTGTACACCTTCAAGTTCCAAATTCTTCCTACCCCCAAAGGGGCACTGTCACCCTGACCTACCCTTTCTACCTAGCAAACACAGTCACCTTGTATAAGGGAGGTTAGGTCATTCGTTGCTTTGTGTCCCAAAGAAACTAAAGTGGAGTTTTTTTCTGAGAACATAAAGAACCAATCTAGGTTGCTCTCTTTCCGTTTTTGTTTTGTTTTGTCATAGTGCCAGGCCTGGGGCTTGAACTCAGGGCCAGAGTGCTTTCCCTTAGCTCTTGCACTCAAGGCTGGTGCTCTACCACTTGACCCACAGCTCCACTTCAAATTTTTGTTTCTGGTTAATTGGAGGTTAGAGTCTCACAAACTTTCCAGGTTGGTTCAAACTATGATCCTCAGTCAGATCTCAGCCTCCTGAGTAGCTATGATTACAGGTGTCAGCCACCAGTGCAGAGCTTCTTTGATTTTTAAAACTCACTGGGTATAAAAAATAAAATAAAATCATTGAATAATATTCCAGTAATGTATATTCTCTGTATCCATTCATCTGCTGGTGGACAGCTCAACTCACCATGCGATTAGTGCAGTGTGAATGCATGACAGATAGCAGGTGTCTCTTTGCAGAAGTTGGCTATATCTTAATTTCCACCCAAGACTCTTCACCCCATTCTCACCTTCAGGTTGGGAACTGAACCCAGGCCCCCGGCTTGCCAGAGAGCTTTTTAGTGAAAGGTTTAAAAATACTTTGAATGAGAGGTGACAGCATGGAAGAGTGGAGGAGGGCTTAGAATCTGCATATATTCCGAAGGCAGAACTGACAGACTTTGCTGATGGATTGGGTGTCAGAGGGAGGGAAGGAGGGAAGGAGGGAGGGAAGGAATCAAAATCATTTCCAGAAGTTTTTGATCTGAGAACAGCTGCTGGGATGAAGTTTCTATTTAAGTGATGAAATGGATCGCAAGGGGGCTGGGGGAGGCGAGGAGCCAGAAGTTCATCTGTGCACAAAAAGTATGGAGCTGTCCATTAGATTCCGGTGGAAAACAGCTAGAGAAAAGTGAATTCAGGAACCTGAATTTGGCAGGGAGGTCCAAACTAGGGAGCAGGTGTAAACTTTACATATGACCAACGACTAACCGCACAGGGTTTTAGTTCGAGCTTGAAATGCACGGGAGGCAAAAAGAAAGCTCAGCCGGCCTTTCCAGTGGAGAAAAGTTCCCGCAGCTTTTGGTGAATTCACACACCGGACTCCCCTCTCCAGCCCCGCCCCTCGTGGGCGTGGTCTACTTGCCGCAGGGGGTGGTGGGCGGGGTCAAGAGATAGTTCTGGGACATTCCACTCTAACCTTTTCTGTGACTGACAGTTGCATTAGCCAGTTGTGATTGGAGGAGAGAAAGAGCGAGAAGGACGACAGGGAATTTCCCAAAACCTACTCAGGAACGCCTCTTCCAAATTGGCCAATGGAAAGCTTCGGGAGGCGGATTCTCTTGGAGGGGATGGGCGGGATATAGTGACTGGCATCTTTACTAACGAATGAAAACTTGGTTGCTGGTTAGCGAAGGCCAATCAAGAGTGAGAAAGCCGGATCCTGGGGCGGGGCTGGATCTTCGGCAGTTGAACCGCTCGCGAGGAGAGGAGTCCCGGGAGAAGGTGAGAGGCGGCCGGGGACCGTGGAGCTCCGGGCAGGGGGCTCCTAGGTGAAGAGTGGGCTATGGAGGGCACCTGGCCCGGCAGTGTGGGCGTAGGGAGAGGGGTTCCCAGTAGCACGGATAGGAGCTCGAATGAGAGGTCAGGGGCCCGAGGGTGAGTATGTAATGGGGGGGAGGGTCTGGAATGGGGGTGGGGTTGTAATTCAGGAGATCGCAGAATAGCGAGAGCCCCTCTTGTAATCAGTCCAGAGCTGCGTTTAACGTGTGTGTGTTTTGGGGGTGCAGGTTGGATTTAGGGCCTGGCACTACTCCACCACTTGAGCCACACATTCCCAACTGTTAACTCTTCATCTACCATTTGGTGGGTTCTGGCTTGGCATGGTGGTGGCAAGTGTGTAATCCCAGCACTCAGGAGATGAAGGTTGGAGAATCCTGAGTTTGAGGACAGCCTGGGCTACACCGAGAGATAGAGGGGGGAAAAGTGTTGAGTTCTGACCTCAGCTTGCTCTAGTTTGGATCTTGGTTCTATCCTTGGCCCTGCTTCTGAGTTTGGAGTTTCATCATTGATGGAGTTGACCTCATTGTTTGTCTTTCTAGATCATTCAATTTGAAACGTCACTTTTTTTTTTCTCTTCTGTCATGGAGTTTGAACTCAGGGCTTGGGCACTGTCCCTGAGCTGTTTGGCTCAAGGCTGGCACTCTACTACTTAGAGCCACAGTTCCATTTCCGGTTTTCTGGTGGTTAATTGGAGATAAGAGTCTTACAGACATTTCTGCCAGGCTTGGCTTTGAACCTCCATCCTCAGATCTCAGCCTGCGGAATAGGTAGGGATTACAGGTGTGAGCCACCAATGCTCAGCCTGCTTCACACTCTTTACCTTTGTCTCTTTCTGCCCTGATCTCTGCCCTGAATTCCATACTCCTGTATCCAATGGCCCACTTTTCTCTTTTTTTCCCCTTTTTTTGCCAGACCTGAGGCTTGAACTCTGGACATGGTCCCTGTCCCTCAGCTCTTGAGCTCAAGGCTAGCTCTCTACCACTTGAACCACAGTGCCACTTCCGATTATGTGGTGCTGAGGAAAGGAACCCAGGGTTTCATGAATGCTAGGCAAGCACTCTACCACTAAGCCACATTCCCGCCCACCCCACTCTTCTCTTATTGGGAGTTCAACTGACATTCAGTCTTTTTTTGGGGGGGGGTCCGGTCGTGGGGCCTGAACTCTGGGCCTGGGCGCTGTTCCTCAGCTCTTCAGCTCAAGGCTAGCGCTCTACCACCTGAGCCACAGCGCCACTTACAGCTTTTTTTTTCTTTTTGCTTATGCGGTGCTGAGGAATCGAACCCAGGGCCTCATGCATGCAAGGCAAGCGCTCTACCACTGAGCCACCATCCAGCCCCTGACATTCAGTCTTAAACTTGTGGTTTCCCCACTCTGCGTCTACTCCAAACCCAGCTGATAGCCAATTAGATCTGTAATCCTAGATACTCAAGAGGCCGAGAGCAGAGGATTCAGATCAGCTTCCACCCCAAACCCAGTTAATGGCAGATCACATAGATACTCAGGAGGCTGAGATCTGAAGATTCAAGTTCATAGCCAGTGGGGGCAGAAAATTCTGAGACACTCTTTATCTCTGGGTGATCAGCAAAAAAAAAAGCTGGGCTGATGGTATGGCTCAATGGAAGCATCCCTGGAGTGCTCCGATCTGCCTGGGCCGTGGGGAGGGGTGCTCAGAGTGAGGGTGCAGAGGGACACCCGTGCCATGCCCTGTGTGTGGGGGGGTGGGAGGGTACCCTGCGTGAGAGTGCTCCTGGGGTGTTGCTGGGCTGGAATATGTGGTGGGGGGCAAATGACCAGCAGGAGGAGGTGGTCGGGATGGCGATTTGCCTATAGGGGTGTGGGAATCGGTGGTGTGGTCTTGTCTTGGAAGAGCCCAACATGGAGGCCTCTGGGCTGTGGCCCTGAGTCAGGGCAGGGGAAGAACCAGCACAGCAGAACTGCCCTCCTTCATGAAAGATGGAGATTGCGTGCCTGCGCGTAGCGTTGGGCATCACTGGGGTCAGGTATATAGGCCAGAGAGATGCTTGCCTGCTGGCTGGCTGGGAGTGATGTCATCAGACTGAATGACTGGCAAGAGTGAGCCTTGAAGGCATGGCTGGGATTTGGAGTTAGGAGGCTGAGGTGAAGAAGAGGACCCAGCAGAGCCCTGGAACTGGAATGAAGTCAGCTACCAGGATGGGCCACAAGTCACAGAGCTAGGAGGGAGGATGCAGGTAGAGGGCCAGGGCCGGGATGGGGGAGGGGGCTCAGGAGGAGAGGTGGGAAATGTGTGTTTGCAAGGGGGTGGGGCTTTGCATACAATTTGGAGGAGACACTGGAAATTTGAGGATGATCAAAAGTGGGATATGCAGAGCCGGCCGTGGCTCATGCCTATAATCCTAGCTACTCAGGAGGCTGAGCTCTGAGGATTATGGTTCAAAGCCAGCCCAGGCATGAAAGTCCGTGAAACTTTTTTTTTTTTTTTGGTCGGTCATGGGGCTTGAATTCTGGGCCTGGGCGCTGTCCCTCAGCTCTTCAGCTCAAGCTCTA